CGTACATCAGATGTTGACTTTTGTGATGACGTTGCAGGTAAGCTTTCCTTCTGATGACTCTTCCATGTAGATCATATTTATGCCACAATACTCTTATGTCAGCTAAACTGTCCTACAGGTCCTTAGTGCTGTATGGCAGTATTGCTTTGCCATTCTGGCCTGAATGTGGGTAGACCAATTTTATCTGAAAGTTTTTTTTGGTCTTCCAGATCTTGCCTTGGCTTCCACAGTTCCCCCTTAACTGCCATTTTTATTAACATTTTGGACAGTGTAAACTGCGAGCTGGACGCTCTTTGATCTTTTTATGGTCTTCCCCTGCTTTATATGCATCAATTTGCTTCATTTTCAGATCCTTTATATTCAGCTGCATAGAGTAGACCATAGTTGATTAGTGTTACAAGGTTTGAAGATTCAGAGAATTTATTAGGCTCTGGAATTGTTATTCTTAGTGACAATTCTTGAACTGCATAATGACTACTAAGTTAAGTTAAGGCCTAATGAGTTGAATAAGTTCTGAGACTATAACTAGAAAAGATGTTGAAATTTTTGCACATGGCAATTATTACTATTTTATTTTTTCCTATTTTTAAGTTCCTCAAACATGAAGTAACTGTGCATAATCACTTGCATACACACACACACACACACACACACACACATACACACTGTTGTGCCCAAACTTTTGCATGTAAATGTAGCTAGTGAGTGTATGTACAGTGAGGGTAAATAAGAATTTGAACACTTTTTTTATTTGATGTACTTCCAGTGCATATGTCCACATCAAATTAACACATATAATGACTCTGTGCATATAAATATTAACATGGTTTAGTCATTACAGACAGCACCAGAGCATTCACACAGAAGAGAAGCCATTTCACAGTGTTGGAAAAATGTTATACACACACAAGTCATATCAAAGGTCATAAAGGCATGCACACAGGTGAGATGCCATATCATTGCTCACACTGTGGAAAGAGGTTCACTTATCTCAAGATATTTAATTAATAAGTGCCCAAATATAGAGCAGTCAGCTTGTGGTTTTTGCTGCAGTCAGGCTGGTTTGAGTGTATTAAAAACTGCTGATCTCCTGGGATTTCCATGCCCAACAGTCTATAGAGCATGTTGAATATTATGTTATGTTATGTTATATTATATTAATATTATGTTGAATATCTTCACCTGTCCAATTTCTATGAGCCTGTGCCCACAGTAGCCTCAGATTCCTGTTATTGGCTGACAGGAGTGGAACCCAATGTGGTCTTCTGCTCTTGTATCTCATCTGCCTTAAGCTTTGGCAGCTTGTGTGTTCTGAGATGCTTTTCTGCCCAACCAGGTTGTATAGAGTGGTTATTTGAGGTACTGTAGCCTTCTTGTCAGCTCAAACCAGTCTGATCATTTTCTTCTCATCAACAAGGCATTTTTGCCTGCAGAACTGCCACTCACTGGGTGTTTTTTGTTTTCCACGTCATTTTATCTTAAATCTAGAAGCTGATGTGTGAAAATCCCAGGAGATCAGCCGTTTCTGAAATAGTCAAACCAGCCCATCTGGCATCAACAACCATGCCAGGGTCAAAGTCACTGAGGTCACATTTTCCCCATTCTCATTTCTGATGTGAACATGATGTTGATGTTGAAGCTCTTGACCTGTACTTGCATGATTTTATGCATTACACTGCTGATTGGCTGATTGCATAATTGCATGAATGAGCAGGTGTACAGATTTTCTTATTGAAATAGCCAGTGAGTATGTATATCAATGGTATTTAATTTTCCTTGAATAAACTAGATTCTTTCCTGTAAATTTACATACTCTCTCTTGTTTCTTCTTCTTTTTTCAGTGCCAATACCATTACATAATACAGTATATCATGAATATGCAATATATTTATTCCACTGAATGACT